CTCTGCTGGTGAAGTCGGGTACTGCAGGGTTTTATAACTGAGGCGGCTCATCGCGGTCCTGAAGAAATGTCCAGTTTGATTTCAGTTTATATTTAAGTTTATATGTTATTAAAAATATATATTAAATGAGTTTAATATATATTTATTGAGAATATATATTAGAAGAGTTTAATATCAGCCCCTGCGGGATCTCACAGGTTGTTCCGGCCGAAGATTCCTGATTTCACTGCAGATTTGATAAAAAATAGCGATGCCTGTTGAGACGGTTTTAGGTGTTTTTTTGAAAATAGCTAAAAAGAAAAGTTGTCTAATTACTTTAAAACTGAAGGTAACTTGTTCCAGTGAGAATAAAATCTCTGGTAGTTTGTTGACTCAGCGCTCTGATTGGTGAAACTCACAGGAAACTACAACCATTAATCAAAGTTGTGGGAAGTTGCAGTGATTGGTTGAATGTGAGTTCATTATTACGATCACTACTGTACTGTACTGGCTACTGTAGAAACATGGTGGTCCAACATGGCGGACTCCGTCACTAGAAGAGGACCCGCCCCCTCTGTAGATAAAAACGTCTCATTCTAAGGTAACAAACACACAATGATTCTTATTGTCGGCTGATTAAACACTAATGAAAACAAAGTGATGGATATTAGATTAATGTGACTCACTGGAGCCTTGAAGAAGTAAGAATTTGAAAACGTTTTATCTCATTATTTTGCATCTTAAAAGTCAAAATTTAAGAACAAATTTGACTTTAAGTATCTCATTATTTTAGTGTTTGTCATTTCTAACATTTAGTTTTGTTTTGGGCTTTAATGATCTTCCGTATAAAGTGAAACATCAGCTGTGAGATCAGAGAACCTTGACGACATCAACAGTATAAATGATCAATTCTGAACCTGCTGACATTATTGGTTGATTAATTGATTAGTTGACTGAAAAGAAAACATGATGTTGTCACCTTAGCTTCATTGATTGATTGATAATTGATAATTAACTAAAAACAAACTGTGAGGCTTCTTCAGGTCCCGGACGGTGGAGGTTTTTTTTACTTTTTAAAGTTGGATGGATGGAGGGTCTCTGACAGGAACCAGATGGATCGAGAGCCTTCAGACTGAACGTCAGACGGTATTTCTGTTTCCTGGATGTTGGGAATGAATCCAGCGATTAGACGGAGCCGAACTGAACTGAACCCTGAAGAAAAAAGACTTTAGTTGTTATTATCATCTTCACTTGCAGTGGTCCAGTATTTCTCTCTGTCTCTATAAACAGCTTTTGGACAAAGTGTTTTGATAGTGAAAAAAGAATATTATTAATTAATATTATTATTGTTATTCTGATGACCAACTGAAAAGACTTCTTGTTGGATATTTCCGTGTTTATGAGGTTGTATTTGATGTTTGCTTGATGCAGGTTGATGCAAGAAGAAAACAGAGTAAAGTTTTTGTAAATATAATTTATTCTCCTCTGACCCCTCGGTCAGTGACTGTGTAAAGGTTAAAGGTCAATGCTCGCTGTTCGTCCACTCTGCAGACCTCCACGCAGCCAGAGCCACACAGACGCTTTGGCTTTCAGCGGCGGCCATGTTGGCTCCACCGTTCAGATTAACAGCTCTCAAGGTGAAGGTTAAAGGAACAATCTGACATTTTAGTGAATCCTCTCCAGAGTCAGACACCAGTTTCTTCTCAGGTCAGATGTGAACCAATCAGCAAGCTGCAGTTCCTGTAACGTCCACTAGAGGCTCCAGCAGTGAGTCAGTCTCCTCTAGAGATCATTTCCTCGTTCGAGACAACTGAACAACGATATTAAAGATTAAAGTTATACAGAAATAAGCAACGTTTTTAATTATAGTGTGTTTCTTGCAAACTAAATAAAAAATTTTTTTTTTAGATTTAGTGAAAACGTTGTAACTTCTAGGCTTTGATGGAGCCAAGCTAGCATTTCCCCCTGCTTCCAGTCTTTGTGCTAAGCTAGGCTAAACCCATCCTGGACATGAAACTGAAAACTCGATTTCTTAAAATGTTGAACTATTTCTTTAAAGGTGCAATATGTGAATTTAGTTTTCAAAACGTAATGAAAGGATCAACAGAATGAAGAAATAACAGTTCAGACTTTAAGTGACGCTGTTAGCATCATCGTTAGCATGCTAACCAGCTTGTCTCCTAATACCACGGTAGTCAACCGGTGTGGTGTGAGCTAACAGCTAACTGAGCTATCTGGCTAAGGACAGCTACAGTTTATTACATATTGCACCTTCAACTTCTCCCTCAGCTCTGTTTCTAACGTGGTGCTCGGTGTGTGCGCGGCTCTGGTTGTCACAGCGTGTTTTAGGCGTGTTTTTGGCGTGTAAAGCAGACTCCGGTGGTGTGTCAGTAATCGGCCTTATCGTTCCCATCGTCATCAGTTGTCTCGATGTGGTGAATTTGAGTGATTTGTGTCGAGTAATTGATGATTATTATTTTCTTTCTGTTTTCAGAGCATTTTGGAGACTGGTCCCGGGCCTGGTCCAGTTCTGGTTCTTACTGGTTCCGGCTGGTTCTGACCAGTGTGTGTATGATACAGTTGAACAGTGGCGTATCGTATCAGTCCAGTGTGCACTTTCTCTTCGTGTGCCAAAGCACGTATTCAAACTATATTCCGTACATTCAGTATTCAGAGCTAGTGGCGTAGTTGGCTAATATATCTGCGTTAAGTATTTAATATTTGTTCCTTTGGTCGCTTTATAGTTACAGTCTCAGTTTGAACCGGTTAGAACTGGAGATGAACCCGATTACATTATTACACTAATTATACTTTTTGTTGTGACATTAACTGTTAACATTTCTAATATGTGATAACGGCTACTTGAGTGCAAGCTAGCTAAGCTACGAGGCTAACTCCCAAAATGATTCACTCTCAACGAGTTAACGCTGATTACCGATATGCTACATGCTAAGCTAATCTATGTTGAAAAGACAACCACATTTTGAAGTTGGTTAAAAGATAAAAGAAACATTAATAGAGTCACATCTTCAGTTAGCCAATGTTAGCAAAACGCTAACTAACAAGCTAGTTAATCTACATCAATCTTCAGTTAGCTGGTTACATCGGAATGCTAACGTTAGCAAAATGCTAACTAACTAATTAACTAGCGAGCTGTGAGTCGAACTTCAAAGTCCGATCCATCGATCAGAGGTCCGATCCATCGATCTGAGGTCCGATCCATCGATCTGAGGTCCGATCAATCGATCAGAGGTCCGATCAATCGATCAGAGGTCCGATTAAAATTAAAATGCTGTTGTTTACATTTATTGCTGTTTGTTGTTCGTCTCCGGCTATAACCGAACCAGCTGGAGCCCGTTTTAAAACCAGGTAGAACCAGCTACTTGGGTTCTACCTGGTTCTGTCCGGTTCTACCTGGTTCTGTCCGAGTCTGTCCGGTTCTACCTGGTTCTGTCCGGTTCTACCTGGTTCTGTCCGAGTCTGTCCGGTTCTGTCCGGTTCTACCTAGTTCTGTCCGGTTCTACCTGGTTCGGTCTGGTTCTACCTGGTTCTACCTGGTTGTATCTGGTTCGATCCAGTTCTACCTGGTTCCGTCCGGTTCTACCTGGTTCCGTCTGGTTCTACCTGGTTCGGTCCGGTTCTACCTGGTTCGGTCCGGTTGGAACTGGTTCTATCTGGTTCGAACTGGTTCTACCTGGTTCGGTCCGGTTCTACCTGGTTCCGTCCGGTTCTACCTGGTTCGGGTCCGGTTGGAACTGGTTCGGTCCGGTTGGAACTGGTTCTACCTGGTTCTGTCCGGTTGTACCTGGTTCGGGTCCGGTTGGAACTGGTTCTATCTGGTTCGAACTGGTTCTACCTGGTTCGGTCCGATTGTACCTGGTTCTGTCCGGTTGGAACTGGTTCGGTCCGGTTGGAACTGGTTCTGTCCGGTTGTACCTGGTTCTGTCCGGTTCTACCTGGTTCGGGCCGGTTGGAACTGGTTCTACCTGGTTATCTCTGGTTCTACCTGGTTCGGGCCGGTTGGAACTGGTTCTACCTGGTTATCTCTGGTTCTACCTGGTTCGGGTCCGGTTGTACCTGGTTCTGTCCGGTTGTACCTGGTTCGGTCCGATTGTACCTGGTTCGGTCCGGTTGGAACTGGTTCTGTTGCTGTGTGTCTGTCAGTATTTTGCCTTACTACACTTTATGAATTTTATTGATCTTTTGCCAAATCAGTGTTTCTGTTTATTTATCACCTGTAATCCAAACTGTTATTATTGATTCTGTTTGTTACTTCCTGGTCCGATCTCAGAGCCTTTCTGTCATCACACCGTCACAGTGTGATTATTGGCTGCTGTTACCATGGAGACCATCGCTGCGTAAGAACCAATCAGAGGAGGGCTGGACAGTGATGTCATTTTGCTGTCTTTTTTTTTTTTTTTTTTTTTTTTAAAATCTCCTGACTCGGTGCTATAGTAACCGCCAGGTTTCTGGAGCAGAGCGTTACCGCGGTAACCGCAGAGCTGCTGGTCCCACGTAACCATAGCAACCACTGGCCCCTAGTTATAGTGACAACACCGTTCACCATCCTCTCTCTCTCCGTCTCTGGGTGTAACAGCAGCATGGTTGTGTATTCTTCTTCCTGTTGTGGTATCTTGTTATTATTGATTATTAAGTATTGATTGATTGCAGGTTATTGGTTAGTGGCCGGCCACTGCCTTCCATCCTGTCTCCGTTTCCCATCATGCACTTCTGTAAGAAAATGCAACAAGAAATGTTTATGAGGTTATAAATGAAATAAAAATATAAAAACTGATCATGACTGTGTGGAAGTATTTATTAATACTGCTATTAATACTATTACTGCTATTAATACTGCTATTAATACTGCTATTAATACTAATACGGCTATTAATACTGAGATTAATATTAATACTGAGATTAATATTAATACTGCAATTAATATTAATACTGCTATTAATACTGCAATTAATACTATTACTGCTATTAATATTAATACTGCTATTAATACTGCTATTAAT